GTTAATAGTGCAATGCACCCAATTAAAGAGCGCCTCAGGATCTGGCCTAGGATTCTTGCTGGCAGCTGAAGGATTCATTTTCCACCACAAATTTATCTTCAGTGCAAATGTGTGCCAAATCTCCAACTCATTAAATCAGCATAAAACTATCAGTTGCTGGAGACCAGTCATTTCCATCGTTTTGGGAACATGCTGGTAGTCTAGAAAGCCTCCTTTTAAACTTCTCTGCAGGAAACTGGTTTGCCAGAAGAAAAAATCCTTATGAACTGATAACAGCTTCCCCAACTCCAAAAAAGCCCCAAGCTTTTCTTCCCATTTCAGCTCCCAGCATTTTGGAGTGTGGAGAAAGGCTTGATGAGGACAGAAGTGTGCAGAAGTCAGAGGCAAATTAAAAAAACAAAACAAAACAAAAAAACCACACCATACTTTTACGCTAATTAAAAAAACCCCAAACAATTGATTATCAGTGTATCTTAAAAAAAAAGGGGATTTAGGAACACTTTGCAGCCTGTTCTTCGAGGTCCCTGGCTGCAGACCAAGGCTAAACGAGCTGATCAGCAGCCATACATTAATTGCCTTCTTGTTCCTTCTACACTGAAGTAAATCAAAACCTTTTCTCTCTCTAGACCTGCGAATGGGAAGCCCAATGTGAAACCCAGCGCACCAAACCAACACATGTAAGCATCTGCACCTTCTGGCTTCTGGATCATCTTCTGGGAGCTGTCACTGCATAAGTCCATCACCTACGTTATCTATACTGCTACAACTTCTCATGCACTCTACCCTTGACAAATTTGGAAAGACAAGATGGAGCAGGCATGCAGACAGCAAGCAGGCACTTCTTGCACGCTAAAGCACAACTCCTTCCAAAAACCTTTCAAAACCTTTCAGATTAATTCCCAAGGCCAAACACCACCTCTATCCCCAGTGACAGAGCTCTCCGGTTCAGGCAAAAGAAACAGGTCAATCCCGATGCTGACATGTATCAGTGATAAGCCAATGAGAAACGAGGATGTTAGTTGGATCTTTCCTCAAGACTATGTAATTCTTTCTAAAATGCAGCTAAAAGTTGAACTTGCTACAAGATTACTTAGAAATAAAACCTCTCGCTTAACAGACCCTCTTTTCATGGTGCCACGTATCTCCTAGGAATTTTACTGTTTCATCTAATATAACACAAGGCTGCACTGAGAAGGTAAATATTGATTAAAGGGCCTTACTTTTAAAGGTTTTATAACCCTGGGGGCTAAGGTTTACTGTTTGCCTCTTGCTATTGCTGTTCTGCTGCTAGCCCCACTTCCACTGATTTCAGCAGTTCTGCCTGAGCAGGGAAGGTAGGATTTTCTTTTTCTAGAAGAAATGGTTTGAGTAGTGTAAAAAAAAAAATAAAAAAAATAAAGTCTTTGTCACTTGCTTTGGTTAAGCAGGACTTTTAGCCTACCTTCTTCGGACATGTTCATTGACTACAGTAAGTTTTGTTTTTTCAGCACTGTATTTGATGTAAATATTTCCTTACTACACTTGCACATCAAGAACTGAGAAAAAAATAAAACAATGTTTTTAGTTAGACTCAGTAATGTTTATTTCTTTATTCAGTTCCTAGCCTCAAAAAAAGCTAAAATCCTTCATGAAAATATTAAGTGAAGGTTTAACGAAGTCTCAGACAAGGGAAAAGACAGCCATTTATATACCAGCCTGAGCTTTAGGATGCCAGAGTTCAGCTTCCAGCTTACCACTGTCTAAAATGATCTAAAATTATTTTCCCAAGGACTTGCAAGATGGGCCCCATAACACTCCTCCACCCCAGGGGGGTAAGAGGGTGGATAAGATAAAGACTCTGAAGGGACTTAGGTATTCTTGCCAAGGGGCTGACAAAAACCTGGAGGGGGAAGAATGAAAGAAACCCTTGGCTAGTCTCCTCCTCTGCAAACAAACTGGGAAGGAGAGAAACTCAGAAAAACAAAACTTCTTCCAAACTTACGGGTTTTTTTTGTAATTCTTAATTAAAAAAAATAATCAGGGACTAGAGAAGTGTATCTAAACAACAGCAGGCAAATACTGAATGACAACTACATGCATCTACACACACTGTAAAGAAAAAGTTAACCAAAAAGCCTTCACACTGAAATGTCTATGAATTCATAGACATTAAGAAACACTAAGACACATCCCATCTATTAAGGGTGTCCTCATTCAAACCCCAGGTGCTAAGCTGGGGAGAAGTGAGGGTCTCACCGCACCTGCAGTGCCAGACTCTGCCCCATCACAGCCTCGTCACCAACGTGCAGCTGCATTTTGACACCACAAAACAGATCTACTCACCAAGCTGTTTTGAGGCAGACTAGGTCCAACCTTTAGCCCTTTTTTAATATGTTATGGTTACCTAAATCAGTTTGTTCTCAGCCTACAGTCAGCTCTAACCATGAGGATGAAAAGCTTAGATCTTTTCTCTCTCTCCTGGGAGCACCAATTTTGTTATTAGCTTGTCCCAGAGTCTCTTGTCGACTTAAAAGTTTTCACTTATAACGCCTTAACTCACAAAGCATTTCTGTAAAACAGTTTACAAGAGGCAGGAACATTACTAACTCTCTAGCAGCATTCTCTACAGCTCTTTCCATGCTCTTCTCAATCATTTTATCCTGGCTTTTCACATCACACTTTGATGTACACCATGCTTTGGTCTACACCATGCCATATTCCTTGTAACCCAGGCTGTCGGGCAATGCTCCTCCTGACCTGGTACTAACCCCCAAACCCAAATCCTCTTCCAACAGATGGTCTCCACGCTTCCACAGTGACCTTCCAGCTCTTTTAAATGCCTTTATAGAAGGAAGGTGAAATGATCTGACTGCATCCATCTGTTGTTGTTTCCCCACAAAAGGCCATATATTATACACGGGAAGCATTTCCTTGAAAACACATTTTCTGTAGCACAGTAGTTGAACGTGGCATGTGACACACACCAAGATTAAATGTATAGTGTTAAACAATGAATAGAAAACCTAGCAGAAGTGTTTTTCTGTATTTTGCTCCTTGTAATCTATGCTATTCTTTCAAATGAAATTATTATTTCATGATCCACAGGTTAAATATTGATTGCTAGTTCTACTGCTATGAGAGCCTACAGAGGTCAATCCTCTGGCATAAAACAGGATATGGGTGTTTAAAAATCAAAAAGTATTTCAGTAAGACAAACACAAGCACAACAAATTCCTCACTACAGAAGCTACATGGAATCCTAATGCAGGATAAACAGAGCAAAATAATACCCCAAGCAATGTAAAACTACATATATTTGGGCATTATTAACTACTGACATTACTAATAGCAATGCTCCAACTGTGCAGTGAGGCACTGACACCCCCGATCCTGCAGCAAGACTGATGCACCCAAAGCCCTCCTGACACCACAGATGAAGGCAGTGAAGAACTGGAAGCACTATAAGTTTGGGGTTTGGTTTGTTGTGGTCCCCCCCAGTCTCCACTTGCACAGCATCTACAAAAAAAAAACACCAAACAACACTGACAGTTGTTATTATCCTCCTGAATACAGCACAAAATCCACACTAATTTTTGACCTCTAGTTCAGAATCACAGAGCATCATTGATCTCTTTTAACCCCAAAGTCAAACTCAAGGGGCACTGGGCTGCCTCCCGTCTCCCTCTACGCCCTCTTCATGCTGAACCTCCAACCTGCACTCTGCAGGCTACAGTTCACATAGTGCCCCAGGGTACGCTCTGCTCAGCACCATCCTCAGGACCCAGCATCCAGGTATCACAATCCCAGATAAATATTGACCATCACGCAACTGCCTGCGGCAACTAGCATCTACCGGTTCAAGCTCTGGTTCCACAGCCAGATGCCTTAAAAGAAACCGAAGAGGAAACCTCATCCTTGAGGATAATCGGAGACTTCATTCATAAGTTCATGAATCCAGCAAGTTCTCAGCAGTTTCAACTCTGAAGAAAGGGCTTCCATCGCAATATTGCTGTCTATATACCACATTCCCTCTTTAGAGAGTATGCTTCATGTAAAAGAAAGCCCAGTTAACAGACACATTACAAGTTCTCATGCCTGTCATAGTTTCTGGACAATGTCATCATTGCTGTAAGCTACGAGGGCATGGCTTTCTAATGGGTATAATCAAGCTATTAAAAAATACATGACTGTTCACTGAACTCTATTAGTAGCTTTCAGCTTCGCACTTGCTATCAGTTAGGTGTCATCTTCAATTCTTTATCTTCATTTGTTTCCTTGCATCTCTTTAAGACATTGATCTTGGTGGTCTCATTTTGGTTCTTAGGTGACCAAAGGGGTGTATCACCCAAACTGCATATAAAGCTTGGCTGCAAACTGCATATAAAGCACCAGTAGAAATATTATCCCTCTGTACCACTATAACAGATATCGTGATATAGCATAAAACTATTACAGAATTAATTTTAAAAGCACATCCAACTCTCCACCTGTGGACTTTCTGTGAGATACTACAAGTATGTGTTCATGGACTGTTGCCCATCTCAGGATACCCAGAGGTAAAACTTGTGCATTTGCCTCTTCTTACATGGGCTTTTCTATTTGTGAACTACTGCATTTTAAGTATCTTTTCGAAATACATCAGACACATTGGACTGAACTGCTGTGATTCAGCATTTGCCACACAACCAGCAAAATCACCTCTTCAGAAGGTCAGAAGGCTGAGGGAACAAGAGGAGGCAGCTTGGGGCATGCACCATAATAAGCACTCACTCCTCTTCAGTCACTACCCTGAGTTCTCTGTTGAATACCCCCAGAAGGAGGAACACCCCACGAGCAGACACATCCATGAGAAGTTTGCTTCAAACCACCAGACTGACTTCATCAAGGAACCCTCCAGCAGAGGCGGTGATGCAGCACAGTTCTCCAAAGCAAGACTGAGCTTCCTTCCACGCGCTCCCATGACCGATTCATCTTCCAGTTCAGGTCAGCTGTAGCCAGCACTGCATCTCAGATTTAAACCTGTAGCTCAAGAAGGCCTGTTAAGTTTTCCACTTACATGTACAGCTGAGGAACGATAAACAGCTTCACAAGACAAACATGTAACTTTGCATCCCTATTAATAAGCTACTGATAGAAGGCAAAACCCAAACCACATCTTTTGCACCAAAATAACCAGATGCAAGTATCAGTGCAGCAGTGAGAAGGGAAGGAGCTAAGAGCAGCTCCACCTGCTGTAGAGGTGAATGACTAACACAGCATCAAGTTAGGAGGCACACAGATGCCTCTAGAAAATCGAGCAAGTTTGGAGCAAACTGGCTGAGTTTGTGGTTGAGTAGCAGTGTCTGGGCAAGAAACCCGGACTGCTGCTTGCACCAACAGAGGAAGACTGGCTGAGCTGGAGTCTAGAGAAGCAGCTCAAGGGTGCTTCTTTCTCCACGCAGGAAGCTGTTGTCGGACAGGCCCTACAGATCCAACAGCTTTTTGCTAATACCGTGTAGGGGAGGTTCTAGGTTATATGGTGAGGCGATCACACTGGGTGCAGAGGCAAAGGCTGGAAGCCTTATGGGTTAATACGAGGCAAACAAGAGTCTGAGATACAGAATGACTTTCAAAGAGAAGTGGGAGGAGTAAATTTGTTCAGAGGTTGAGGGTTACCTAACTGGGCAGTTGCTCATAACTCATTGTGAAGTAGCTCAAAACTC